GGGGGTGATTGGATCCATATCCCAAACCACCCCCTCTTACCTACGCGCGCTTTTAGGCCTGCGGGTATTTTTCCTACTTGTAGGAAACTTAAAATCTTTCAAAGAAATGATTCCATATCACACTACTCAAGTTGAAATATATAAATTGTACTCATTCGAATATTGTTTAGCTTCTTGAGGCTTAAGTGTGATTAAAAAAAATTGAAAAAAAAAAAGGGTTTCCTGAGTCAAAAATTCTCAGATACGGTTCTGATATCCACATTTTGACGTCACCTGTGATCTATTACTGAATTGATTGAACGGCAACGTGACATTTCCTCTATTTGTTTTATACAATAAAGAGGCAAAAAAATTGTTAATGGTCATCTACACGTCTGGCCTCCAAAAGATTAAAGGGAAGAATGAATCCAAATTTATGCGTTACCCGGCTATTTATAGATTGGTAATTATCACTAAGAGTCTAGATTTCTGATAGAACGAAACTATTCCGCCTTTTTATCTGGCACCTTGGTGTCTGCTCGTTTTGACACCAAAGATCTGTATAGTTTGAATTTCAAATCTGTCAAAATTTTGATCTTGAATGAATCGCGGCCATCAAACACCCGCCCGTTAAGCCTCAGGGGTTCTTCGAGAGACAGACAACTGAATTTTTATGATGGTTTTCCGTGAAGACCTTGCGGATGTCAAACTGGTTTTAGCTGTAAACGTCATCATTATAAGCTTTGATCAGCATGTAGCTCCAGCCCAGTGTAAAGCATGTTGTTTTCTTTTAGACTACCATTTCTTCTGAATTCCCGCGGATGTTTTATCCTCAGATTTAGTTTTCACTTCCGGCAATTTGAAGACGCAAGCTTCTCATATATCCCACCTGATACACGTTTTAAGCGAGCCGTTTTTAACACCGTCGAACCGAATTCAATCATGTTATTTTTAAAAAAAAAATGCTCCTTGCCGCTATAAGCTAGCTCCTTTGTGTTAAATAAAAAATATTTAAATTAATTTTTACTGTCATAGAAAAGCGCTTTAAAAAAAGAGACAATTTGCTTTTATGTCACTTTTGAAGTTAACTGATCTTATGCAAATTTTGTATTGTGAGCGTACCTCCTTCGCAAACACTCGTCTTTAATGAATATCTATGAGTTGTCCAATAAGAGCTGATTCGATTTAATAACTTCTCACTAGTCGTGTATTAGAAATTAAATGCAAAAAGTCCAGCTTTTCAATTTGGAGATAAAAAGTCTAACCATATGATAGATTTAGAACGGACGATAAGAATATTTTTCGAAGAAGGAAGTTGAAAAAGCAGGGATTTGTACCTTTCTCCAGGTGTCGTCGTTACCGCTCAATCGCTTCGAAACGCTTGCATAAACACTTTATAATACATCCGTAATTTTCTCTATGCCATTAGCGCCTTACTAGAAACAAAGAACCCTGCTAAAAAAGTTGTGTCGTCATCCAGTTTGAGCAGGAAACCAAGATAATTTTCAGAGGCTAAGAGACATGTTTCGAAAGAAGGGAGATTTTCCAAACTGAGAATTGAACGTGATTGAAAGTTCTTAAGAGCTGAGATCAACTTTTCGAAAAGGAAGCGACTTCAAGGCGTTAAGATCGAACGGAAGAGGAAGAAGACATCTTAAAACATGCGATTTTGCAAGCCGAAAGTCGACTTGAGTATCTGTGGTTTGTTAATTACAACCACT